TAGAGAAGAAAGGTAACTTGTTCATTTTAACTTTGACCGGTGAAGACGAGCACCGTTTAAACCCGACCAGAATCGATGCAATCCGTTCAGCACTGAACCAAATTCGATCCGACTCCGCCTCCCACTCTGGTTCGGTTCTCATCACCACCGCTCAAGGGAAGTTTTTCTCCAATGGCTATGATCTCGCCTGGGCTGGCTCTTCACCAGACAAGATTCGTCTGATGTCTTCCAAGCTCCGAGCACTCGTTGCTGACTTAATCTCTTTTCCTATGCCTACCATCGCCGCCGTCACCGGCCATGCCTGCGCCGGCGGATTCATTTTGGCTTTTAGCCATGATTGTGTTGTTATGAGAAAAGCTCGAGGGTTTTTGTACATGAGTGAAATGGACATCGGACTTAAGATTCCTGCTTGGTTCATGGCCCTTATAAGGTGATTCTCCACTTCAAGAACTTTTTTCACCCTTATACGTATATCTCCAATGAATATTATTATATTTATATATTTTTTATTTTATTTTATTAATCATTAGTTGCAAGATCGGTGACCCTGTGCTACGACGCGACGTGGTGTTGAAAGCGAAGAAGCTGACGGCGGAGCAAGGAGTGAAGAGGGGGATCGTCGATGCGGCATATGATTCCGCGGAGGAGACAGTGAAAGGAGCGATTGAATTGGGAGAAAAATTAGCTCAAAAAGGATGGAACGGACAAGTTTATAGTGAAAATAGGAAACAGCTTTATAAAGAGATTTTGAATCAGCTTGGTGTCGATGAAACCACCGATGATTTGAACAAAATTGCAATTGCATCCTCTAAAATGTAGCGAAATCTCGAATGCGGTTAGAGAAATTAAAGAAATATTTGTAATAATTTAAGATTAAGTTTAATTAAAGTTTGTATTCATAGTTGACAAAAATTTATTTTTCGTGATTTAAGATAAATTTAGATATGTAAACAAATGAAAAGAATTAATGTGTATTAATGAAGCAAGAATATGTTTAAAAATGAATTAATGAAATGAATGTTTGGGAATTCAAAATAATTAATGGTTGGGTCAAAATTGGCAAAATAAAAAAAAAAATTGATTGGCTTTTTCTATCCTTGAATGAAATGCCTAACAATGATATTAATATATATCTACAGTTTGTAAAATCTATATTATATAATAAAGATGAGTTCAAATGGGCGTAATTGAGTACCACGTGGCACTTAACTAAGAAAGAAAGGCTTTTTTGTAGTTTTTTATTCTGTCGAGTGCTTTGTGGTCTTTTTCCTTGATTTGGTTGTTCAGAAACTTCATTTTTCCTCTTTTGTTTTTCTCTTTCTTTTGGCTTTTGCTTATAAGGATAATTGGTTGACAAATGGTGGCCTTAATTGAGTGACACGTGGTACTCAGTTGAGAAGAAAGGGAGCTGGGTGAAGAGTTGAAAGGTCTTTTTGTAGTTTTTTATTCTGTCGAGGGTTTTGTGTTCTTTTCCCTTGGTTTGGCTGTGCAGAAACTTCTCTTTTCCTCTTTAGTTTTTCTCTCATTATTTCTTTCGATCGTTGCTTTTCTTTTCTCTTTCTCTACAGCTTTTGGTCCTCTTTTTTCTTTTTATTTGGTTTTTACAAACTATATTATAGATTTCGCTTTTGCACATTGTTGTTGTTAGTATTGATAGTTCTTTAATTTCTTTTTGGGTGAGTTCATGTTTAATTCTTTTTTTGTTCTTTGCTTGCTCCTTAGTGTTGCTAAAAGTATTTGTGCTTTTATCTTTTTGATTCATGTTTGGGTTTACTGGAGTTTGTTTAATTGTTTGTATTTATTCTGTTATTTTGTTTTTTCTCTCTAAGCTCTTGGCATTGGTCCTATTATATGTAGCTTTTTAACGGGTGCTTTGCATTGTTCATGTTTGGGTTTGTTTGAATTCGTTTAATTTTTAATATTCATTCTTGACAAAAGTTAGATTTTTAATGGATTTATCCTTCTCAAGTTATATTTAATTTGCGCCTCTCAATTTATTTAATATTTAAGTGTCATTAATGAGATTAATATTTTTTTTTTGTTTCTCTTTCTTTCGCAACTTTTCCAGTTGAAGTTAGTTTTTGTAGTTGTTTATTGGACATAGATTGGATTTGTTTTGATACTTTTATCTTATTTTTATATTATTTGATTTATTTAACACTTTTTTCAATTTTGAAAAATAGTTTATTATATTATTATTTTGTCAGATTATCTCATAATATTGTTATACTGCTTTATTCATGGTGCTTTTAGCTATTATCTTTTTTGGCTTAGCACTTTTACTTTTTATTGTTTATAGTAATTAATAACCTCTCATTTCAAGAAATAATAAATCAATGTTTAATTTTCTTATTTACGATCCAAATACTATTGAATGAAATAGTTCCCTACCTTTATCTTCGTAATCTTGCTAATTGAAAGGCAGGGTAAACATTCCCCTTTGTTTTTTACTAGGAATTCAAACTCTATCAAAGCTATTTATTAAACATAAGACAAGTAATCTATATTATTGCAATCCAACTAGATAATCTGGGATAGAGCTCAAAAAGAAGTAGATAATCTAGTCTTAAAATTTTGGGTTGTATTCATTTGACTTATTAACCATCCATTGATTGCAATGGACCTTAATTTGTGGCATCTTCCTCACTTTAGTGCAAGGATTGATAAATTTTTTATCTGAATCATAGCTCTAAGCCTCGCCCATAATAGACCAACCATCCTGTAATCATAAATAGTATTGCATCCATCATATGATTTGATATTTAAATCATTTTAACATTTCATATTTAACAAATTTTTAATTAGTAATTGCTATTTTATGTGCCTTCTTATATGTTCTTTTATTTGTTGGTTAATAATAAATCAATGTTTAATTTTCTTTTTTACAATCTAAGTACTATTGAATGAAAATTTACTCGACATTATTTCAATTTATTTGACTTTATCTGTTCTTTTTATTTGTAGGTTACTTTTTATTTTTTGACTTTTTAACTCCATGATGGATGGTGTTAATCAAGCGAGAGAAAATAAATTTAAAAGAAGACAAATATTAAGAGCTAGAAGACTTAGTGGGTGAAGGAAATATGTCACAAATATTATGTCAGTATGTATGAGAAGTGGGTGCAGTTCAATTACAAATTATGACAATCTTAATCAATGAAATCCAATTGTGAATGCAGTTAATCTTTAGTCCCAAACTACACATTTTCTGCAAAACATATATACATTTAATCTTGTTGATGTACCAGTTTGAAAGCATGTGTTGGTACATTCTACTATGGACACTGAAGGTTCATAATCTTCTTCTGCATTTGATCTTTTAGTAAGCAGTAGTTACTATTTTGCTGATCATTTGTCATCTAATATTATACATACCGTGAGTGATTTAACAAATACCTGTGATGATAATATTGATGGTAACTGAATTTATTTTTTAGCTTCAGGTTTTGCATGTTCAAGTCTATTTATTATTCCATTGGAATTACGATGACTCACACATTTAATCTAAATTATTATTAAAAATAAAAGCTAATGTTAAAGATCTTAGTTCTGACATAAATTATGAACGATTGGGATGACAACCGACCAAAAATAAAACGATTACAACTCACTTAAGTTAATAAAATTATATCAATACATGCAAATTATGCAATTTTACATTATTATATTGATTTTTTATTTAACAACTTGTTTTGATTGCAAATTTATCTAATAGGAAAATGGTATTTGCCTTTCACGTTTGGTGCCCTTAGCTATATTTGCCTTTTTTTGTGGTGCTTACATGTGTTATGAATAAAGAGTTGGTGTAACAAGGGAAACTAAAAACTCAACTTTCACTCTTTGTTGTTAATAAGGTACAGTAAAGATTCCTCCTTTTAAATCTATCATGTCCTTCTTAGATAATTTACTTACAAATAATAGAGATAATAAGGCTACTAAATTCAAAGAAAACATAAGAATATATAATTTTATATTTCAGCTTGCATCATTGGGATGTAAAATTGATAATTCAATGAATAATGAACAACATCCTTATGTTTTTAGGATAAATGGACAAAATCATCATAAAATAAGGGTCTTTGCTTTCAATAATAGGAAATATACCTTAGTTTGCTCAAGTATACATTAATGATACAGAAAATGAAATTTTAAATAGAATGAAAATTTTTTATACTGAATCAAACAATACCATCACTAATATATACATAGTTTAAGATTTGATGAAGATGCTTAATGAGAATAATGAAATTGTCAAGGTTTTTGGATTAGCTAGAGACAGATTAAGAACATCAAATTATGCGCCTGTTTGTCTCAAGCTTATAAGATCTCGAAGTAATAGAGAACCAAATTATGTACCACCAAGTTGTTCTAAAATAGTTGGACTAATAGTGAGAGACATAGGAGAATATGATGGATGTCAAGATATTATAGTTGATCAGATTTGTCAAGGGCTTAAACGCATAAGTGAATTGCATTCTTCATTTATGGCCATGCAATATCCATTTTTATTTCCTTATGGTGAAGATGGGTACACAATTAATATAAGTTATGTTTATTCTTTAAGAAGAGAGAAAGCTAAGCGAAAAACTATGACCATGCGAGAATATTATTGTTATATAATCTAACAACATCTGATTATACAAAATACGTTATTAAAAAGAGGCAGGCTTTTTCAATAATTTTTTGTTGATGCATTTACTGCTATAGAAGAGGAAATGTTACAATACATAAGAAATAATTAAAAAGAATTAAAATTTGAGCTATATAAATGTTTAAGAGATATATTTGCAAGTGTAGATGTTAATGCAACCTCAATTGATAAGCAAGTCATTTTGCTTGTAACTTTCACTAGTGGTCCAAGATATTTACTCTAGAACTATCAAGATGCGATGGTTATCTGTAGTTATTGTGGTTAACTTGATCTATTTATTACATTTACTTGCAACGGATAGTGGATTGAAATTTGAGAAACATTAAGCTTAATACTACACCAAAAAACAAAAAACAGGCCAACATAACTTCATGGATCTTCAGGCTTAAAATTCATTATTTTATGAAAAATCTTATGAAAAATCATCATCTGGGACTAGTTATTGCTGATAAGATAGTTATTCTACATTCACAAGATTTATTTATAACATATTAATTATTGATGATTTTATATATGTAAAGATTTAGATGTTGATACATACTTAAACATTTTTTTTCCAACAACTACATACACGATTGAATTCCAAAAGTAAAGATTATCTCATGTACACATTCTTCTTTGGTTAGATGCAAATCATAAATGTTCATCTGCTGATGATATTGATAGAATCATATCAACTGAATTTCAAAACAAAGAATTAGATCCAATGGCATATAAGGTTGTCGTAGATTTTATGGTACACGAACCATGTGATTTTGCAAATCCTAAATCTTTCTGTATGAGTAAAGGCTACTGTTCAAAATTCTACCTAAAACAATTCTAATCTACTTCCATAATTAGTGAGGACGGATTTCTAATATATAGAAAAAGACATATTCAAAATAACATGGTATTAAAAAATGACATATAATTAGACAATATATTTGTTGTTCTTAGTAATGTTGATCTGGTTATTAAATACCAAACTCATGTTAACATTGAAGTTTGTAGTTGATTTAGAGCTTAAACACCATATAGAACACGAGTTGTTTTGGAAAGTACTAACTCAACTACAAAGCATGATCGACAAAGCAAGTATAAATGAAATTGATGAAATCAAAACATATTTGACTGCAAATATTTATTAGCATATGAAGCATGTTGGAGAATTTTTAGTTTTCCAATATACCATCGAAAACCTATTGTTTAAATATTAACAATCCATTTATCCAAATGAGCAAAACATAATTTTTCATGATCATGATAAATTATCTAGAATAATTCATAAACCTGATGTTACAAAGACTACGTTTATAAAATGGATGATTTATAATGTAATGAATGAATATGGTAGACATTTAATTTATGTTGATTTTCCAACAGAATTTATGTGATATAAAAAAGAAATGAGATGGCAAAAAAAAAAAACAACAAGGAAGATGTATCAGAAGAATAAATTATGTACATCCTGCAGTTGGAGAGCTATATAATATGCGTATGTTTTTAAATGTTATCAAAAGAGCTACTAGCTATGAACGCATTAGAACAATTAATGGTATCACATATCAAACGTATCAAATAGTGCGTCAAGCATTAAGATTATTAGAAAATGACCAATAATGGAATGTTGCTTTGTTATAAGTTTCCGAATGGGCTTCAAGTGAGCAACTAAGACAACCATTTGTTGTTATAATAATGTTTTGTCAAGTAATAGATCTATTAATATTCTGGGAAAGTAGCTTGAAATTATTTTCAGATGACATAGAATATAGGTTGAAACATGCATTTGGATGTTTAGAATATTCAATTCTAAGAGATCATTTGAAGAATCATATCTTAATTGCTCTCAAATATATTTTTCAATAAAAATTCTAGTTCTTTAGCTGACTTTATATTACCCATGCCAATAGAAAAAAATTTACATAAACAGAAATTCGATTGATTCATGAAGAAATGAATTATAACTTAGTTGAGCTTCAGCAATTACACTTTCAATTAGTCTTACAATTAAATCATGAGCAAATGGAAATTTATTGGTGTGTTTGACAATCAATTGATAATGAAGGACACATGATATTCGTTTATGGCTATTGGTCCCAAAAGGTATGCTGGTTGGGAGTAAATAGTACTTAAAAAATATTTTTGAGGATAGTTCTTGAAATTTAAAATTCGTTGGGAAAACTTGAGATAGATGGTTTAAAAACTTGTTGAGGTTAACGAGCACCAAGTAAAGAAAGGTTAAGAAAAGTGGATAAAACATAATATTTATAGTGATTCAGTCCATCTTATCTACATTCATTACCTTGATCTTCTTAATCAAGGATTTTCAATCAAATTTCACTAGAACCAGTGAAATTAACAACTTCTATCAAACTTTTAAACCCAAACTCCAACACTTTTGCAACAAGTCCTAAGCTTACCTTAACCTAGACTACCCCTTAGAGTGTCTCACACACTCTAAGTAAACAAGAAATAGAAGATAAAAAGAGATACAAATGATCGTGTAATTGATCTAAGTTGTACAAGTTTCAACACAAACACTTTCATAAAAATAAGAGTGGAATACAAGTGTTAAGAGAAGGTTTTTAGATGTTTTAAGCTCAAAATCACTCTTGGTGCTTTTTTATATGATTTTTCACTGTTAAAGAGTTTTTACATACTTAGAAGACTGATTCTAACCATTAGAGATAGTTTCTGGTTATTACTAGCCGTTATTTTATCTTTTAATGACTCATTTCAAATAGGTAGACAATAATTTCCAATTAGATTATGTTATAATATAACTATTAATAAAAGTCAAGATCAAACACTCAATAAAGTGGGTTTATATTTACCTAAACTAGTTTTCACATATAGTTAATTATATGTTGCTCTTTCAATAGTTACTTCATGTCAAGGATTGAAAATTTTAGTCACAAATGATGATGAACAACTTTTAAATGAGACAATAAATATCGTATACAAACAAATATTTGATAATTTACCTTCAGGTATATACTATAACTTCTTTACATTTTTTTTCCTTTATTTCAATGCATTTGTTTCAATTAATCTAAACCTCAATAACAATTTGCCATTTTCTTACAACAGCATGATCCACCATATAAATGAAGCGTTGTCTTTTCTATACTTATTGGACAATAAAATGAATTGAATATGAAAGTGTTACGCATTTATCAACTAACTTCTTCACAATCAAAAATATTACTAAGCTATGACTTTTAAGTTGTTCAAACATAAGTAAATAATTTTCCTTATGCAATACAATCCCCACAAGTTTTTCAATATAGCATACTTTACCTCTTTTTTCATAATTGATAGCATATTATATCATTTACCATACACATTGAATATTACACTCTTCCTAATCATTGATATATACTTTAATGTTAATTATTTAGTTAGTTGTGTTGTTTTGATAACATCAACTACATAATTAAAGTTAATGAGTTAATAATTTATTCAACTATATTCTTTTAACAATATCAAATAGATAATTAAACTTTTATTCAAACTAATGATAAGCTTTATATAATATTTCGAACAATACTCACAGAATAATGATTTCTTATCACAACACGCGGGAAGCACTCTAATAGTACTAAAATTTAGGATATCCAACGGGGCCATTTGAAGAGTTCAAAGTTATGGGTAGATTGATGTAATTGTTGTCACATTGAAGTCATCAAAATAATAAAAAAATACATAAATTTCAAAAGGATTTTTTCTTCATTATTATAAAAAGAATTGTACTATAGTATAACTTTTATAAATTAATATTCGATAAAGTTAAAATATCGATTAAATAATATTTCAAAAGTTAAGTGATTTTTATAATATATATTTATAGATAAAAAAGAAAAGAAGAAAAGAAGAAAAGAAGAGCATAATGCTTAAAAAATTTTCTAAATTATTCAAAGGCATTTAAGTAAGTTTTAATTTTTTATTACGTTTAATAAAATCTTTGTATTTTTTATTATAAATTAAATAGATATTTATTATTAATAGTTGATTAATTGTCATTAATTAAAATTTTACTTATCTTTTTACATTTATGTGACATTAATGTAAATAGTAAAAAATATCATATGATCATATCATCATATCATATCAATATGTCACATCATCATCTATCATTATATATCAACATATCATGTAATATAAAAATAATAAGTAACATTTTGATTAATAACAATTAATCAATCGTTAATAATAAAAATCTATTTGTTTCAACATAAAATTATAAAGATTGAACGTAATAAATGAAGGCATAATCTCTACAAAAAAACCCTAAACTATTATTAAAATAAACCTTTATACTTTTATTTTAAGTCAAATAAATTTTTATATTTTTAATTTACATCAAATACGTTTTATGATTAATAATTGATTTAGTTAAAATATTATTTGTTATTTTATGTAATGTGGTATTGACATGACATGTTGATGTTATCTTGTATAATGACGTAACATATTGATGTTTCTAACCAAAAAATAAAAAGAGATATTTTATCTAATAATAATTAGTTAATTATTAATTAACTTATATGATACAAAATAAAAATATAAGGATGTGATTAAACATAAAAAAAAATGATTTATTTGAATTTTTTGAATGATTTAAGGGTTTTTTTATATTATGCCACAAATAAAAATGATTTCTATAAAATTTTTTAAAATAGGTCACAATGTTTTTAAATATTATGTCATAAAAAGACAAGAAAAAAAAGAAAAGGGCAAAAAAAATACACTAAAAAAAATCTGATTAATCTATAGTTCTATAATAGTATAAGGATTGAAATCATACTTTTTCCCTTTTTTTTTTTACCTTAATGTGTGTGATAATAAAAATCCTTAGTTCTCCAATTTACCTTTTTATTATAAAAGTTCATAATCCATAAAAAAAAAAAGGAAAAATGAAATTCCTTATTTGCCCTTAAGGTTATCGCAAATCTCGTTTTCCCGTTTCATTTTCAATTAGTTAACACTTTAATTTCCCCAACTTAATTACTTGAAAAAAATAATAAAAAAGGGGTTGCCAGCTAATAATACCCCATAAAACCACGCTTATACTTACAGCTATTACTCACTTCCTTAGCGGAGCTTTAAGAAATTCCATGTCTCTCTCTCTTCTTTTCTCTGTTCAAATGTAGAAATTAACCCCAAAAAGAGAAAAAGGAAAAACACTGAATCAAGAAAAAAGCTTCAGTCAATATTGGAATAATTTTTTTAAAAAATTGGAGTTTAGTTCAGCGACGGTTGTACGTGGATTTGGTGCGAATAAAATTCCGATGACAACGACTTTCAGTCCGGGTCGGAGCCCGGGGAGTTCGAGGCTTCAGTTAGGAGCAGCCAGTGGAGTGTCGAGGCTTAGATCTTCGTCGCTTAAGAAGCCGCCGGAGCCTTTGCGTAGGGCAGTGGCGGATTGTCTCTCGTCCTCGTCGTCTTCTTTTTTGTCGCCGGCGACGGTGGCTGGAGGAGTTAGCTCGTATCATCATGGGAGTCCTTCTTTGGTTTTATCTGAAGCTTCTAGGACGCTTCGGGTTCGTAATTTTGGTTGGATTTGAATTTATTATTTGTTTTATTAATTAGATCTTGAACTTTATTGTGTATTTTTGTTTTTAATTTAATTAGGCTTTTCTGATGCTGTGTGTTATTAATGGGAGAAAAAAAAAGGAAAAGAATAGAATAGAATTAAAAAAATTTATTTAGGTGGCAAAGTGTATGGAAATTTGATTTATTGGCAGAAGGAAGAGAATTTGTTGAAAAAGAGGGCGTAAAATAGTGAAAATTGTGATTTACCTTTGTAGCTCTGCATAGTTGTTGCTTCCTGAAGATTTATTAAATTGGTGAAAGCAAAGAGTAAAAAAGAGGAAACCATATTTGATTAAAAATGAGAAAATGACTGAATTGAATTGTAACCTTTTTCATGTAAAAGGAAAACTATGCATTTTGTTATTTGCAAATCTTAGATGTCAAATTTTAGTCCTTCACTGTTTTGCCTACGCAAGTGGCAAAACCAGCAACAAGATGCAGCTTAAGTGATTTACTTGCTAATTTTTGCCTTTCCCGGATTTCCTGTGAGGAAGTATCTGATACATTTTCTTCATGTTAACAATGGTTTGATCGTTTCTGTATTATCCTTTCTAAGACTGCTAGATTTACTCTTATGTATGGTTTCAAATGTTATGTGATTTCAAGGTAAGAAAAAATATTTGAATTACTATATTTTTGGAGGGTTTTTTTTTTATTTCTTTTAATATCTATCTTGTAGTATTTGACCTTCCTTTTTACTTCACCTGTGCAATTGGTATTTGAACCTTATAAGATCAGAATACCTCATATTCAACAATGGCAGGACTATCTGGCAGCACCCTCAACAACTGACCAGGCTTACATTGTTATCTTAGAGCATACAATTGCAGAGAGAGAACGCAGGTAATTTTATTATCTTTGAACAACCATTTTTTTTATGTCGTAGTCATTATAATTGATCCCCACTCCACTCAGTGCTCTGCTAATTCATCATAGGTTAGTGCAATTATTATTTGTATCCTACAATTTATCAATCATTCTATGTAAAATTATGGATGCTCTAAATTAGAAAAGTTTCAGAAAGAGACAGCGTTGTTGACATGTTTGGGTGGTAAATGGATTGGAGATGTAAATTTAAGTGATTTAGAGATAATGCTGATTGCTGATAAATGAGAGTGTTGTGGTAACTTAAATAATTTGCACAAGTAAGAGGCTGAAATGAAACTTTGTTGATTTGTTGAAGGCTAATCTGCTTCATCCATATGAGAAATGTGTTGACACCAAATTTATGCAATGAGTCTTAGTTGAACACATGTCTTGTGTAACTTCATCTAGAAACACCTACAAGTTATGTTTGAATGAAGTACCTGGAAATTCCATAGAAATGACCACAAAAGGATATACTGTTTATTGCAAGAATACTTAAATAATTTATGGGAATATAGTATTGCAATAAAAAAAATGTAAAGAAGAAATGATACACTATTATCATAAATCATTGTTTCCAGTTTCATAATTTGTTTTACAGTGAAATAATTTGATTATTATTGTTTTTAAATGCACAATTTACTTAACTTAGTTAATTGTTTTTTCTTTTACTTTAAGCATTTCTTAGCATAGTGCTTGTACTATTTTCTTCTTTGCTGCTAATGTGCTATAATTTGTGCCAGCCCAGCTGTAGTTGGAAGGTGTGTGGCTCTCCTGAAGCGATACCTTTTACGGTACGTTGTTCTTCTGCACACTTGTATTTTTATTAGTTCTCATTTTATGTAGAATGGGAAAGTGTTTGACTCTAAGTTGGTTCTAGAATATGATATATGAACCAGAATTGAACAGCTACCAAGTGCTCAGACAATTAGGTTGCCCTAATAATTTATTCATTGTAAAAATAGGATCTGCTGTGGTTTCTATCCAGTTTTAGACTGACTGGAAAGATTTATCAAGACCATAGGTTCCAATATTCATAGGTTCTATCTTATATTGTTCTATTTTTAGGATTTCATTGTATGTTCCATTTGCTGCAGATATAAGCCCAGCGAGGAGACATTGCTGCAAATAGATCGGTTTTGTGTTAACATCATTGCTGAATGTGACAATAGCCCAAATAGAAGATTGTCACCATGGTCACAATCATTAAATCAACAATCTGGTTCATCGACAACATCAACATCATCGGCAAGTGCTTCTCCTTCGTTGCCTGTATCTAGTTTTGCTTCTGTGGCACTTGTAAAGTCATTGAATTATGTGAGATCCCTAGTGGCTCAATATATTCCAAAGCGGTCATTCCAGCCAGCAGCTTTTGCTGGAGCAACCTTGGCATCAAGACAATTGCTTCCTACGTTGTCATCTTTGTTGAGTAGATCCTTCAATTCCCAGCTATGCCCTGTGAATGGTGGAGAATCTTCAGAGAAGAAAGATGCTTCAACTTTATCTGTTTCAAACTTGTTAAACATTGAGGAAGCTGATGGATTAGAGAATCCTGAATACATTGCGAATGATGTTTTAAAATGGCGCTGGCTTGGGGATCATCCGTCATCATTATTATTTTCTGAAAGGTAATTGATTTTGCCTATACCTTTAAAGTGTTGAAATAGTTTGTGTTGGTACTATTTACTTCGTTTCTAAGCCTCTGGTATGTTTGGTTGTTAATACTGTACTTCCATGTGTTTGTTCCTTCTAAAACAAATTAATGCTTGAAAAGTTTTATATTCTAAAAGCAGTGACCGATCTGTGAATGTTCAAGACATGAGAAGACGTAATTTCTTGGAAGTAGGAGCAGCTGCTCTACTTGTTGGAGACATGGAAGCTAAAATGAAGGGCCAGCCCTGGAAATATTTTGGCACTGCTGATATGCCTTATCTTGATCAACTGTTACAGCCCTCATCAGTCACAACAATTGCCAAGTCTGCCTCTGCTCGCTCCCACTTGAGAGCAATAACAGCATTGAAACGCAGTAAAGGAGGACCTCGCAAAATTTGGTATGCTCTTCATTACCCTTGGATTATTGCTTTGATGGCTTATTTTTAGTCTCACTTACCATTAGAGTATTCCCGCTATGCATATGAATCCTATCTATTTGTTATTCTCACAAGTGTGACTTTTATGGTTTTGCTATATAAAACAATGTATGATATTGCCCTTTTGATGGCTGTTAGAGGTGGTGGACTGGTAGCTTTAAGGCAGTGGTTTCAGGATACCCTGGAATTCATGTTTATTGTTAAGAGTCTGGTAGCTGTGAGGTTCTGTTTGTTTAATATCAAATCTTGGAACTATGACTCTTAAGAATCTGGCTATTTTAAAAATGAGGATGTTTTTTTGCTGGCATAATTAGTAAGGTAGAAACTGTTGAGTTTAAGACAAAAGTAGTTATGCATAATTTAAGCCTTAATTTTGATATAAAGTTATATAATTACAATTTGGAGTCTTGCATTTGATATATCTGTAGGGATGATTCCCCAGCGAGCACATTCTGCCCACGTGCCCGGCCACTTTTCCAGTATCGTCACTACAGGTGTGCATTTTGAGATCCTTCACTTTATTGTACCACTGCTTTTGTAACTTGTTAGCAAATGAATTTTGCTTCTCATGTTAGTTTACTAGGTTTCGGGATTAAATAGGGGAGCTTTTTTTTCCCTGTTGTTAGCAAATACTCCATCTTTAATTTGATGACAATCATACTGTTGAATTGAATATGAAGCATTAACAAACAGCCACTGATTTTGATTTATATAATTGTTCTTTAGCATCATTATGTATGGCTGGGTGTTGTTTTTCTTTTTTTTTGAAAATCTGGCTGGGTGTATTTTGTGTATATTACACATAGCTTCCTGTTTTGAAGTGCACAGTGATGGAATTTATTTTGAAGTGCAGTTTCATTTGCAACATTGATTGGCTGGCAAAGTGGTTGAGTGTATGTGTACAGTTGTTTTTTTGTCTCATCACATACTTTTGTGTGCATCAGTGAACAACAGCCATTGCGATTAAATCCTGCTGAGGTATGCGAGGTTATTGCTGCTGTCTGCTCTGAGACATCTTCGACAAATACCAATACCATGACAGTATCATCTAGATTAAGTAATAACAGTGGAAAGCCGTCCATGGATGTGGCTGTGAGCGTCCTTATTAAGCTGGTTATTGACATGTATGTTTCTGTTTTCTTCTTTTCGTGGACCTCTTTTGTTCTTTATCATATACCTTATGTTTAAACTTTTTTCCCTCTCCATTTGTAGACGCATTATTGATGCTATAATAATAGTAGTATCGAGTACTTGATGCATATTAAACCTGGTTGATTGATATATGCATAAGTTAAGTCCAAATCATCCTTGTAAAAGGGTGAAAATTTTTCTTCTTTTTTCTTTTTTAATCCTGCAATCCTTAATATATAGCATTATGATGCTCTTGGAATACTTTACATCTTCTCGAATTCATTGCTATTTAAATAATTTATCTGAGCAACAATTTATATTACCCTTTTAAGTATCTGAAGTCCACATCCCCTTGATCATGTTGCAGCGACATTTTGAATTGTTATTTCTTTTTTCTAGATGGAAATCTGAGCCATATACTTCTTATCAAATTATTAAATAGTATTACAGGAGTGAGTTATTCATTTTACCAGGTGGTTGATCCGGAATTTCACAATATAATTGCTTGTGTTTAGAATCCCGTGATTGACTTTGTTTCATTTTTGTCCTTTGCTTGTTTTGTTGTTCTAAATTTCACATCAGCTGATGACTATTGGTATGGAGGGGTCCCTGAAAATTCTGTTTTGTAGGTATGTCTTGGATTCTGGAACTGCTGCTCCTCTCACTCTGTCTATGCTTGAGGTTTTGCATCAATTACATATCAATTCTTTATTACTTAAGCATTTTGAAAGCGTCTTTTAATTATTACCTCTTTGGAACTTTCTTACAGGAGATGCTTAGTTCCCCAAGAACAGCTTGTAGGGTGCGTGCTTTTGATTTAATTCTAAACCTTGCTGTCCATGCTCACTTGTTGGAGCCCATGATAATTGATGATAATTCTGCAATTGAAGAAGAATATTCTCAAGAATTACTTTTAAATAGTGAAGATCAGCTTACCACAGGGATAAGGAAAATAGATTCTGCCAAGAAGTTGGGCACATCCTCAGCCATTGATAAATTTGAGTCTTGGATTTTAAACATTTTATATGAGATACTTCTTCTTCTTGTTCAGGTACAGGCAGTCCTTTAACTAAAGCTTGTGCACTTTGGCTGCTTTGATTTTATGGATGTTCAATCCATGCTTTTGTCTGTATACATTGTTATTTTTACTGTTACCATGCTATTGCATTTGTCCTGACTATTCTTTATGGTCTCATGCCTTTAATACTTGTTGCAGACTGAAGAGAAGGAAGAGTCTGTCTGGGCTTCTGCCCTAAGCTGTTTACTATATTTTGTTTGTGATAGAGGCAAAATCTGGAGAAACCGATTAAAAGGACTTGACATTAGGGTGAGTCCGTTTTCCCTGCCTAGCTACCAGTTTATGGAACTTTCCTAATAATATCATATTGTTATTCACTTTGCTGTAACCAATGAGAGTTTTTTGTGGAGTAAACTTGATCTAGGTTGTGAAATTTGGAAGTTTCACTTCTTGTGTGTGCAATTTTGTGTTAAAATTTTTTAAATACCTGTACTCTAAAAGTGGCAGCATTGACCTTAAATATCTAAATGAAAAAAAATGAGACACTCCAGTAGACTCACTGGCCTCCCAATTGATTAAATAGCAATTTTGCTTCTACCAATCTAAAATCTGTGAGGCACACATTAGCAGTGCCAAGTGCCTCACAACAAAGTGCACACTGTGCTTAGAATTACTATCTACAACCAACCAATGTAAAATGTACTCCTAGCACTACAATTCCTCTGAATAATCTTGATGCCGTTTTACGTGGGATCATGCTTGGAGCAATTGTTTCTATTCAGTACTCATAGAAGGATTACAAAACTGAAGGCTGGTAGGATCTGCTGGATAAGTGATTCATTTCTAGCCATCTAGGTTCTGAGAATTATTTCATATCCTTCACTAGAAAGAGAATCTCATGTTTTATTGGAAAATCGTATATGTTGAAAGAAATTATTAACGCTAATTTTCACTTCTTCTTTTTTTTTTGCATTATGCACCCTCTGCATAATTTGTTGGTGGAATTTGCTCAATATGCTATTTGATTCTAGCTTTATAGGTTCTGAGATTATAGGGATGGGTATTTGGTTTGCCTCATTTGAAAGAGACTCTCATGGTGTCATTGGAAAATTAAACTTGTTGCAAGAATTTATCACCCTAGTTTTCAGCTGTCTTGTGCATTATGCTCCCTCTCAACAATCTCTCTCTCAAAACTATACTCACAGTCTTGTCAATCAAAGCTGACATAAAACTTGGTTGCATTTCCTTCTGAGGAAATTTTATGACTTAATTAGATTGTTTTTTGAAATGGATCTAACTTTATCTATTGCTTCTTTGTATTATTATGGAAATAAATCTGAGTGCACTTGTGGTCTCTTTATTTGTGTTTGTCTTCAGGTTGTCAAGGCACTAATAGAGACTAGCCGGGTAAATTCCTGGGCTGAACTTGTTCATTGCAAGCTTCTTTGTATCCTAACAAACATGTTTTATCAAGTACCCAATGAATCTACTCCAGCTGCCATGAGCACAGCAAGCTTTCTTGTTGACCAGGTTGACCTGATTGGAGGAATTGATTTTATCTTCATTGAGGTATGCAAATTAGTTTGATATGGGGATGTAAAGAAATAAGATTACTTGGTCCTCTGCTGTAAGACAACATTCCTGCGACATTTGGTCTAATATTTTTATCTTTAATTAAAAAATTGATGTTCCTGAATGAAAGGAAGTATGGGCCTAACCCAATATTCAATGAGATGACAGAAGCAGTGTAGTGCAGTTGCTTAACAAACTTTGGGAAATGGGTGACTCGGTTATTAGTTTGGTTCTAAATAATGACATCTTTATGAAGTTGTTGGACCTAAGGAAGATTGATGCTAATTGAATTCTAAGTTTTCAACAATCTTTACTAAATATGGAGGTCAATTGACAAACACAAAAGCTTTTGAAATCTTAATCCTTTTTGGCGCTTCCTTTCATCATATTAATCTTTACAAAACTTATATCAATGTAGAAATCCTTTACCTTGTATGTTTACTCTTTTCATTTACCTAGTGCAGTATTCATTGTCAACCTCAAGGGAAGAAAGAAAACATCTATATTTGGTGCTTTTTGACTATGTTTTGCATCAAATAAATGAAGCATGCATATCAATGGGAGTTTCTGAGTATACTGATGATGAGATTCAACCTCTTGCTACACTGCTTGCTTTGGCTGATGCACCTGAAGCTTTTTATATCTCTGTTAAGCTGGGGGTGGAAGGCATTGGGGAACTTTTGAGAAGATCAATTTCTGCTGCATTGTCTAGATACCCTAACAGTGAGCGATTAAACACGGTAAGGTCTCGTGGATATTTTTGCCTGTGTTAGAAATGTTGGGCTAGTGGAGGTGGGGATGGTAAATCAGAAGCGGGCTGTTGATTTGGTTTTATATGATTTCACCAGTTTGATTCATTTCATAAGTGCAAGTGTATTTTTTTTATATAAAATTGAATATGAATTAGGGAAGGGAGGAAGATTCTTTCTAGCTTTGTCATGTTAAAATTGTGTCTTGCTCTCCTTATCTCTACTTACATTTTGCAGGAGTTTGCTAAAGTGGTAATCAACGGTGTGAATTGCAAGTATATCCCTGCTTTCTGATTGTCATTTGTTTTCCTTTGCAGCTGTTGCAAAATATTACAGAGAAATTGGATACAATAATAAGTTCATTTACTCATTTGGACAAAGAGTTCTTGCAACTGAAACAGATAACAAAATCCTACAAGTTCATGGATAGTATTGAGGATTCATCCCTGCGAAATGGTGTTGGAACGAAAGCAAAGCTTGCTTGGGCCATTTTACATTCTCTTCTTCATTCGGATAGAATCTCTTACCACCACAATGGATATATCTGGTTAGGAGATCTGCTTATTACTGAAATAAGTGAGTCAAGGGATGGGAGTATATGGTCTAATGTCAAGAGCTTGCAGAATAAAATTACTTATGCTGGTGTTCATGATTCCTCTGTTCCTTCCGACGTACCTTTGTCTATTTGGCTGATGTGTGGCCTTTTGAAGTCAAAGAACAACATTATTAGATGGGGCTTCCTAGTTATTCTGGAGAGGCTTCTCATGCGGTGCAAATTTTTGTTAGACGAGAGTGAAATGCAACAGTCAAGCAACAGTGATGTTGGACCTGATCATAGAGATTCACGACTCGAGAAAGCAAATGCAGTGATAGACATCATGAGCAGTGCTTTGTCCTTGGTAGCTCAAATAAATGAAACAGACCGCATGAATATTTTAAAGGTATGTTTCTTGGAGAACTCTCAAACCATCTTAGAAAATGTCTCTGATATAAAATCATCAATTTTTTATGAAAGGGAGGATGGGGTGATTTGTCTTGGATATTTCTTGGAGTAAAATGTCCGTCATACTCTTTTCTAGCTCATCTTTGACCCAATCCTGCTTGATTAGCTGATCTTCTTGTTAATATGTCACTCTTGTTTTCATTTCCTGGGAAAGAGCCCTTGAATAATTGAGGGGTGAAACGGTTTAAGCCTGGAGAACCTGGATTTGTTTTCTTAATTTTGTATATGCTACTTTTAGGCAATTACTAAATTTCAAGTTCCTAGGTCTTTAAATTACATGCAGGTGGCTTTAGTTAAGTTTTAATGATTTGGCAAGTTTCATTGTATATATTCTTCTGTTTCGATGAACTGTTGTGCTGTATCTATAATCATTGGTAACTTGTAATTCTAGAGCAAACCCTTCTTTGTTTGAGTTTTGAAGGAAAGCAGTTTAGATGGCTAGCATAAAAGATAAGATGAATGTTGTGGTTAAACTTGATGTATGGTTTTCTCTGATATGGATATATGTATTCATGTTTCCAAACAAATAGGAGATGTCACAGAAAAAATTAAATGTTTTTTGCATAAATTTTAATCATCGGGATTTGAGGATTTTCTCCACTATTTTATCCATTTTGCGTATGAAATTCTTGTGCACCATTTCCTTATGATCACTTTATACAACCTGTAACATTCACTGTTTTTTAAACTTTGGTGAGCAGATGTGTGACATTCTATTCTCTCAACTGTGCTTGAAAGTTCCCCCCTCAACTGTGATGCCATTTGGAGAAGGAATACAGCAGACTAAAGTTTTCACTCGCTCAGATGAAATTAGAAAAACTAATACTGCTGAGCGTATATCTCCACAAGCAAGCTGTCGCTGGGATGAATTAATGGAGGAAACTGATAGCAAATCAGGCTACAGTGTTAGTTGTCCTCCGATACGTGAGACAGCTTCTATGGCTGCCCTACTACTCCGAGGACAAGCCATTGTGCCAATGCAATTAGTTGCCCGTGTTCCAGCTGCTCTGTTTTATTGGCCATTGATTCAACTTGCAGGTGCAGCAGCTGACAACATTGCACTAGGGGTTGCTGTTGGAAGCAAAGGAAGAGGGAACCTTCCTGGTGCTACTTCTGATATTCGCGCAACCCTTCTTTTGCTTCTAATTGGTAAATGTACTGCAGATCCTACAGCCTTTCAGGAAGTTGGTGGAGAAGAATTTTTTAGGTGATTCTCTATTTCTTTGCTTGTTAAGAATGAACTTGACAGAAGCTTGTCTAAGGCTATGCCAAAATTTACACTTTCTTACCCTCTCCTTCAGGGAACTTTTGGATGATACTGATTCTCGGGTGGCATATTACTCTTCAGCTTTTCTATTGAAGGCAAGAAAGCTCTATTTTGTGTTTCTCTCTCTCTCTCTCTCTCCCAACTCTTGCTCTCTCTCTTTATTTTGATGTTCTTCCTGTTCCTGTTCTGTTTTCTCTCCTTTCACTTCTGGTTATGCTTTCCGCTAAGTCATTCAAGTATGGCAATTTTGCAGAGAATGATGACTGAAAAACCAGAAAAGTATCAACACATGCTACAAAAGCTTGTCTTCAAAGCTCAACAGGTAAGCAATTCCTTGATGTTCTCTATGAAGTTACTCTTTTGCAATTATGAAGTGCATACATATGAGAACAACTGATGAATGTATTCTGCATATGTGGAAGGTGATTTATATTTGAAATTCTAGATAATGGCATTTCCTCAGAACAAAACACTCCATCCATTTTCCTTGTCTAATTGGCTTTGCATCTCAAAATTTAAGGAAACAGTTAAACCTTACGTAAGAAACAATATTTGAGCAAAACTTGCTACTTGAATCGATTTCCTTGTTATGGATAGATCATTTTGGAGTGAAGCAATGACTATGCCAGTCATTTACTGTATCGCTTTGCTGTAATTTATTATATTAGTTAAGTTGCCTGTAATGTAAGGTTGGCTTATATTCTATAAGTTGACGACTTTAGTACTGTCCGTATCTAGAAGTGCTGATGGGAAAGGTTAAATTTCTTATAGTATCCTTAGTTTTCAGCATTGGATTTACATGGTTTTTTCTTCGTTCTATTTAGTAGTGCTACTTTAAGATAATATTTATTTGTTGCTGAGGTCTTTGGTCTCTGCTCCTAATCTGCAGAGTAACAACGAAAAGCTGCTTGAGAATCCATATCTTCAGATGCGTGGGATATTTCAGCTGTCAAATGATCTTTGAGCTTGGTTGTATTTGATGATTCTTCTCCACAAAGTTTAATTTACCTTCTGGCTGGAGGCACTGCAGTGATCATTAACATGACTTCTTTTGCTCATAAGTTTTCAACCCTGGCAACATTTGGCCTGAGTTTGGGAGACCATCTTGATGTATGCTTGATATTGTGAGCCTTCATAAGATAGTCTGGAATCCTAAAAGTAGTTCAGAGCAGCTAAATTATTGAATTTAGGCCAAGAGTGTGAGTTCCAAGCCTGGCTCCCTTCCAATCTAGAAAGAATTAAAATATTGAGCTATATGACATTGGATGACAGTGTAAATTCTTTGCTTGCTGCTATATATGTTTCCAGATCTGCAGTGGAGAAATAGAGAAGGTGAGACTTTCAATGTATGCTTCCCTATTTCCATCTACGAGATGAAACGCTATATGATGGGGTTTTGGGATTTTGTAGAAATGCAAGATTTGATGTTTAATTTGAAACCTTAACCTGCAGGAATGCCAGGAATAAAATGGAATGACTGGAGTATTGATTCTTCTGCCTTTTGTTCTGCTGCTGGAATATGTATATCATGGCAGTGAACATCTCTTCAGGTACTCCTATCTAATGTCAGTCACATGAAGTTACATCAGTTCATGCATATTAATTCATTTATTTCTGTGCAAATTCAATTGAATTGATCCTTCCCACCATCATATTGTGCATTAACTCCTTAACTTTGCGTTAGCTGAATAATTGTTATCAATTCCTTTGAAGATCCTTTTTACACTTGCTGAAGAGATGAACCACATTATTAAGAATAGTTGTTTTTCAAGTCAAACATATGAACCCTGAAAAGTTCTGTCATCATAACTCAAAATCATCGATTGTACTGATATTTCTTCATTTTGAAGCAGATTCTTGTGCTGGACACACCAAAGAATTTCCGGGCTACTACAGGAGACTCTTTTCTTTGTACAGAACTAGATTTTCCCGTATCTTTCCAAACTTTTTTTAGCAATTCATGAGCGCGAGTCAATGTTGGCTACTTTTTAAAGGCCATCCATAGTAGTAATAAAAAAAACCTCAAAGTTTTAACTCATAGAGGTTCATTACCTTGATCGCGATTAGAACAAAGGATCCTTTATTTTCAATAGCTAGAGCCTTCGAGGCTCTTCAATTTCCATTAATAGGGGTATCAGTTATCACCTTGGGTGTCTGTTTTTAAGGGGCATATCCAAGGTGTACCTGATAGTGTTCATTTACATTATTTTGACAGTGTAAATATTGTGAATTTGACTCTTATTTTTGGCCTGCCTCTGACTAATTGCAACTGTTGTAATATGGCTGCTGAGAATTTTGCTTCATGTATAAGTTTTGGCTGTTTGATTTTTGAGTAAAAGAAATTTTGGCTTAGCTTCTCAGACTTGTATATCTTTTTCAACTTAGCTTCATACTCTCTTTGTGTAAGATTTCTTCTTAATAAAGAAAGGAATTTTGTCTGCCATCTAAGATTCTTTTGCATAAAATATATACATTGATTTCACCTAATCTCTCACACCCTATTCCCTTTTGAAGAATGGTTTCATTACCTATTTAATTCTCATTGATCGTTCAATTCTTTCTCATCCCCGAAAACCTGGCGGATTGGATACACACTGCGAGGTCGAATGGTGTAAGGGTAATATTGAGCTTCATCCTTAAATCCTTAAGAGCCCTTAAAGGAGGCAGGTTAGGAGGTTATGTGCCGCTAAGGTGGGCGGCTCTGGTGTGGTGAGGTGCATTGGTAACGCAACGCGTCCTCCCAAGGGCAACGTAAAGGATTGGAGACACACCTCGAGGTCAAATGGCTGTTGTTATTGTCATCTAGACATTTTGTTCTAAATTAGATCTTTGAGACTTATAAGTTGAGTGTAAGGGAATGAACTAATGAAGCCCTAATCCCCTTTTGGCAAGGTGGGCCTTCTGAGTTCAACAAGAAAATGCAGAGAGAAAATCTTCAAACCATGATGGAGAATGTAGGAGAATATACAGCACCAAACAATGTCACCTTCATAACAAAATTGGGATGTTAAATCTGCGTGTCCAATTAGAGTCAAAGAGACCATGCTCCATATGTCTGCCACATCGTTTCCAACTACACACCCAACTTTTCTTCTTTCCCCAAAAAAGAAACCAGCCAATGTTCCACCTAGACAAGACTAATTGGACAAGCAAATAGCAGAGGAGAGGACATCATTTAATTTTTGTAGCTTCTAAGTGGTACTTAGCCAAGTCAGCATCAAGATCTTCTGCAGATAGTTTCTGTCCAACGTGTCCACCTTGTCTACGTCTCCTAGCAAATCCATGCCCAGCACCACCACCATTAGGTCCATTACCACCGCCATGAACCCATCTATTTCCTCCCACCTTTTCTTGATCCCTGTTCAGGGACAAAGACAATCATGTTAGTTTGAATTGGTAGTATCAATGAACTGCACCTAGGTACAGAGTAGATGCTGGAAATTCCAACATGAATAAATTTCATTTTTCTGCAAAACCAGGCATTTAGTGCCCATCTCATCTCTCTGGCTTGTTGCCGAAGTGAAGGCACATGCGTCAAACAGAGCATTCAAGGCATTATAAAGCTGATTTAAAAATTCTTGCTGAAGCAGCAGAAACAAGTTATTCGAACACTTGAATAAAAAGCAAGAGACAGGAAAATTATTATCATGCAAAATAACTATGAAAAACAATTCAACTTCAGACCTTCCGATAGCCGCATTAGGATTTCTCACAATGCTGCTATTGGTTGGAGGAATAGGAGCAGACATAACCACATTTGCTCCCACAAGCTCAATGGTCATCGGTTTCCCATCAAGTTGAACATGGTTGTATCTCTTGATAGCTGCCAAAGCATCTGTCTGTCGAAAAAACACTACTTCTGCAGTTCCCTAAAAGAAAAATAAAATTTTTAGCAGCAAAATGAAAAAAATCTGACTTGGCTTTCAAACTTGAACCAAGAGTAGATACCTTTGATCTTCCACTCCTATCATAGTTAATAGAGTACCTCTTCAAGTCACCGACTTCAGAGAAAAGCACCTACAAATTGAAGATGTTGTCATGACAAAATGTAACAACAACCATATTCTCTAATTTGTTACAGACGGAGAACTGATAAAGCTACATGCAGCTCCCCAAAATGATGGTTGACAAGAAGGATAAGCCATGAGATAGGTAGATTACCGAAAGAACAAACTAAATGTGAATATAATACAAATTCAAAAGAAAATTATAGTTTCTAGCAATATTTCCAATAAAATATGCATTAGGCTTTTAAAAGACAGTTTCAATCAACTTAAATTCATATTATCTCAATGACCTCCACAACCTCAATGGCCATATACCTTAGTCCTGCTGCACTACCATACTGCACTGTCACAGATTGCTTACACACGCAACAAGTCAGCAATTTTGATATTATAACTAGTAACCAACTTCTTGTCTGCCCACCTTTCCTTCTGTCAACAACACATTATCGTTCATAGAGCAGTACATTCTTCATCAGCTCGTTACACCGAAGAAAAAGACCTAGAGTACTAAATGCTAAAGAAAAAGCATTCATGATGTTCTAAATGCATAAGAACTCATGCTCATAGCTCGTTACATACTGAACTGTGGAAACGTAATCCAAACAAATCAGCTCCCAAAATTATGAAAGACAAACTATTAATCACGACATGCTTCAATGCTTACACTCTACTAGCCAAGTAGTCAAAAATAATTTGACTCATATACAAGAACACCCACATCACAAATTCTCCTCCACCAAGCACTATCGACCTCCACAGTTTCTTACGGTTAAAACAACTACTTCATTCCATATCCAGTGATCACCTAAATCATATTCTTCTAGCAGCTAAGTACACCAACCCACATTTTTTCTTTTAAAAAACAACCGCTACACATTCGCAAACAAAGCAAAGTAAGATTATAACAACATACAAATCCGCAAACAAAGAATTGAAAAAAGACAAACCTTGATATCCTCATTTGAAACACCGTAATCCAAGTTCGATATGCATAGCTTCGCCTCCATATCCGATCCTCCACTCGAAACCAGCTGCCCATGCCATGCTGCTGCTGCTGCTGGTGGCACTTGCATTTGCTGCATTCATAAGCGCGTGAATGCACGCACGTCCCAAGAGCGTGGAAAACAACCGTTCGAATAAATTTCCAAGTAACAGAAATAAAATAATTGAATTAAATAATTATATACGCGCAGTATCTTTACATTTCCTTTCTGTGTTGAGGCATTAGAAACTTACGGGTCTAAACGGGTACGGGTTGGTCCTGAGCGGGTCGCGAGTACGGCCACGACGATCAGGGCCAGGGCCGGAGCCACGGGGTTTGCGTCTGGAATCACGGAAATGCCCTTCCGATCTGCCCTTATTACGGATGATTTCGTCGAGCGACATGTCCAGTGAGCTGGACATTTTCGGGAAATTGACGTCGGCGCTGGTTTTTTTTTCTTCTTGCAAAGATATGCTTTTAGGGTTCTTGTCTTCTTGAGGTTCTTGAGAGTGGAAAACCAGGAAAGTGAAAGAAGGTTTTTGCAAGGGGAGTGAGGTAAGTGGAGGGTTTTACGGAGGCACGAGAATTTCGTTCACCTTGTTTTATTTCAGTGACACGTGGAATTGAGTGGGTCTTTGGGTTGGGTCCCGCTTTTGCGATGCTGGGCCTATTGGGGTACAAATATTAAAGTTGTCTTCTTGCTTAGTGGGCCTATTTGCTTGCTTGACACATTTTTTTAAAAAAATAAATAGTATTAAAAATATATAATATTAAAGCATATGTCTGCTTAATTTTGCTTGGATTAAAGTAGTATTTGCTTTATTTTCTTGTAATAGGAATTATGAAAAAAAATTTGAAAAATTTTGAAAACAAATATGTTTCTAAGAATTAATTTATATTTAATTTATTATCAGTATATAATACTTATATATTATCATTTAATCATAAAGTGTTATTTCATAAATATATAAAAGTATCAAGTTAAATTTTTTTAAATAAATAATTTTAAAAAATTATGAGTATTTATTTTTTTGGACTCCAAACTTCTTAATTGTATTTATAATGAGATGACAATATCGACAAAGTGACAAATTCATTAAAAATTATCTATTTCAAAAACAAGTAAAGCTTAAGCTAAAATGACATAGTTTAAAAAATACTAAACAGTTTAAAAAAATTTTAATAAATTTTTATTTTTTTATTTCGTTCAATTAAATTTTTATATTTTATTTTTAATCAAATGTACTATTATGACTAACGATTTATCAAATATCATTAATCAAAATATCATTTATTATTTTATATTTACATAAAGTTAACATGGTATTATGTAATTGATAAAAAATATCATATAATCATGTCATTATATTATATTGTTATGTGATATTATTATCTATTTCGATATGTTATCACAACGTAATATCAAATTATAAGTGATATTTTATTTAGTAATAATTAATAAATTATTATATAAAAATTTATTTAATTTAAAAAAATATAAAAATTTAATTAAATATAATAAAAATAATAATTTATTTATTTATTTATTTTAATAATTAAAAATTCGTTTCCATATTATACCAACTCAGATCAATGATTATTTTATATGAAGAGAAATGGGTCAACAGAGTCAATGAAGATGGAATTATTGACTGTAAAGTTTCTTACCAAATTTTGCTTTCCACGTGGCCATTTGGCAAGTCGAAGCCTTAGCCTCTGCTTTTGGGTTGTTGTTGATAGTAAAAGTCAAGGTAAGCAAGGGGCAATAAATAAATCTATTTCTTTATTTAAATTAACTTAATTGCATAAAAGAAATTAAAAAAGAAGGTAAGCGGATCTAAAAAAAGAAATTCATATTATTTATGACGTCAGTGCTTAGCTGCCGTTCGGAGTTTATACGTCCAGAGCAGCGAAGAAAGTCCCTCAGCGCGTAAATTAATAACCAGATGAAGGGTATTTCCGTCATTGAAAAACATCGCCCGCCCTACGTTCCCATCCTGGATTCCTTTCCCACCATCACAATTTTCCTCTGCAGCCCGTTTCACCGTACATTCGAAAAGACCGTTTCCTCCTTTGTAAGAAGAAAAAGCTTGCCCCCCGTATAGGAGTTTTTTTTTTTTTAGTTTCTTTTATCGTTTAATTTCATGGAGAAGATCGATGAGCTCAAAGCCAAAGCCATGGCTTCAAATTCAAAGAATGCAAACCCTAGCAAAGACATCGAAGCTTCTAAAACTAGAGAAGAAGGCGAGCTTTCCGATTCATACGACGACGTATTTGCCTCTCTCTCTTTATCTCCATGACCCTAATTTCCCTCTTATGTTTTTCATCTTTTTATAACTTTCTTTTATTTATATTTGTTGCTTTTTCCGGCTGCTGAGGTAATAGAGGAAAGTCTTGCAGTCAATGGCGAATCCTTCATTAAATTTTATCGATATATTGTGATGGTATATGGATTT